GCTGGCATTCTTTCGCTGCAGCCGCTGCAAGGTTTGGACCAGTTGCAGGAGCTTAGTTTGCGCGGTATTAACAATATGGCTCAGCTAGAATTGTTACAACTGCAAGGATTGAAAAATCTCGAAACACTTGTGCTGGGCTCCTGTCGTGGCATGAAAGTGTCATTGTTCGGCCAGCAAGTGCTGCCGAGTCTGACCCGTCTTCGTCATCTACGCCTCGAGAATCACCACAGCAACCGCTCGTTTAACATAAATGAGATAATGGAGGGCATCGCCGCCGGCGGCAGTGTGAAGCGTGTGGAGCTCATCAATGTCAACGTGGATGCTGAGCTCAGCCGTCAGTTGGGCGCTTGTAGCTCGGTGCAGGAGCTGCTGCTGATGCCGAACTTTCACAATAACACGGCCTACATGATGAATTACATTATGCAGGCGATCAACGAAAATAGCGAACAGCTCAAAGTGTTTCGCTTGGGTCTGACATACGAACTATTAAGCGTCACTCGCGCTCTGGCTATGAATCAAGAGAAGGATTGCATTCCGGTTGTACTGCCCATACCTGGCGTGCCGGACAACGATGTACTTAACGAGTCCGACGAGCCAATAGCTTGCTTGCCGGTCGATCGCCTGGAGTCCATTCTACACCACATGATGCCGCAGGCCTGGCTGACAGTCGCCAAGGTCTCACAGAGCGAGACAACCAATCTTAAATTCCTTCCGGCTTTGCCAACTGACGTCGGAATATCGCATAACTAACCGTTTTTCCACCGCCTCCTTTTTATACATTTGTAAGCATATTGTATATGTGTAATATTTGGGATCATTATATATACATATGTATATATAATTTCTACGTATTCTATATACATATGCATATATGATTTCTACATATTCTATATATAGCATGTGATCTTCAGGGTGTAATGGGATATGGGTGAGTGCCGTTACGATTATTATGTATGCGCCGCCCGGTTGTTGTTTGAGAGAAAATAGACTGAGTCTCTATTCACCATCACACGCTGCACAATACATTGTGGCGCAAAATCTAGAGTATTTTAAGTAATATAAAGTTATATAAATATATATACATATATATAATTAATATATACATATATACGCATCCTTACGTATATATATATGTATGTATATCATATGTTCCATTAATGGAATCGTTTTCAGAGAGAAACGTCAAATACTTAAAGCAAAAACGAAAATGAAAAATCAGTTTGCTTGTGTATAAAAATTAAATCTTTATTTTTTCTGTGTGTATATATATATATATATATATATATATATATATATATATATATATATATATATATATATATATATATATATATATATATATATATATATATATATATATATATATATATATATATATAAAACATAGATGTATATCTTAATCTAACGTATATATTCTTACTGAAATTGCGTAATCCTGTGAATTCTGTGTATATATTTTTTAATAATCGCTATGAAGGATGACTTTGTATTTAGTTTAAGATGAAAATGTCTTGCAAAACGCACAACTGTTCTTTTCGATGAAGAATTATATTTTTAGTTAAGAAACAAACTGTCTCAATCTTTTCTTTTGTGCGCATGGGAAAGTATTTCTTAGATGTTAACGTGGAGCAGTGGTCCTGACAAAGGGGCCAGCATAGTCGGTACAAGTAATATAAATGATATAAAAATAAATAAGTATGTAGGGAATTATAATTGTATATTTAACATGGAAAAGAACATATATTCTTTTTTATTCAAACATCGTGCTAAATGTACAAAAATATCCTTGCAAATGGGGATAGGCGACTTCCAATTTACTTTGTTTTTAAATACTTTGTTCTTGTTTCTAGGCGTACAGAATAAATATAACGAATATTTGTATTTACAAAAGGGGCAAGGAGATGTATTTTGGTACTTGTTTAGGGTGTGGTATGGCTTTTTACGTTAAAAACAATTGTATTTGCAGTTTCATTCGGTTAATAACGTAAATTAATACGAATTCGAAATATGAGTCAATAAGTCAATGTGTAGCAAACTAAATATATATATGTAGACATCAAAGCCGGTACTTGAGTCGTGTTAAGCTTCCAAGAGAAAGTGTTCTGTATATATAGCAAATGTGTATACGATTTTTTATGAAATCATGGGGCTAGGGGGTAAATACGTTGGGTTGGAAAAGTACTCGCAATTATATAGAGATAGTAAATGTTAGTATTACGAGGAGAAATGGTGATGCACAACAACCGAAGCTTGCCGCTCGTGGCACAATTCAGTACCGCAATAGCATGGATTGAAACTTATCGAACTACACGTACTCAAGCTAAGGGATGGCCTAGATCAAGATCAAAATCAAGTGCACTTTGGACATGTACATGGACAACCTGAGACTAAGGCTAAGGCTAGGGTTGTGCGGCTTAAAACTAATTTGTCATTGGTCCAGATCTCAGTTGTATTCGGCCTTGGGAAAGTAGTCGGGCACAAAGATGTGCACAATGATGCCGGTGGTCATGAGGGCAAAGTAGAAGATGACAGCTATCCACCAGAGAATGCGCTCCCAGCGACGCACCTCCAAGTTACGCAGCACCCCGATGCCCACGAGGAGGCCGGCCAGGGCTCCAGACAAATGTGCAATGTATCCAATCTGGTCATGCTGGTCAGTCAGATGCCGATACACTGACGTGCCCAGATCGGTGAAGCAGAACACGAGGAATGCAAGCAGCTGCACAATTGCATACTCCATTTCCGAGTAGTTCTGTAAATGGAAATCTAATTTTTAAAAAGGGTTTGTTTTCAGCACATTTTTTGGGACTCACCATAATGATCGTGGCAATATGGGCAGTGATCAAAGCATAGACTCCGCCCGAGGCGCCTGCCAGAAAGATGCGGGGACTGGTCAGCGAGGTGCCCATAGAGCCGGCCAGGACGCCGGCTAAGTAGACGAGCGCCACTCGCCACCAGTGATGCACCAGCTCCAGGGCGATGCCAAGGAAGATCTGTATGATCAGGTTCATCATCAGGTGCATGATGCCCACGTGCACGAACATGTAGCTGAGGAAGCGCCACGACTCATACCTCTTGTACGGATTGTAAATGAAAAGCGTCGCCGCTGGTCCATTGGTGCTCTCGCCCAGGCGCTGGTTGTGGTTGGGATCGTCCCTGTTGATACAATGCCAAATTGATTAGCAAAACAATGAACAGCAATTGATCTCAATGAACTTACTGAAAGTAAATGACATCCACCAGAAACATGATGATCTCAATAATGGAGAAAATGACCATGGTCAGTGGCGGTGGACAGATGGACATCTGCTTCTCGTACGCGCCATCTAGCTCGTCGCCCTCGAGCGGACGAGGCGGTGGCACCACATACCGACAATACCTGGTCAGCATATTGCGTATCATCCACTTGTGGTGCAGCGACATGACGTAGAACTCCTCAAAGTCCAGATGCCCATTGTTGTCCGCATCACTGCGGCGCAATATCTGCTCGGTTATGTGTGGCGGTATATCGTGGCAACGGCCACACGAAATGAGACCCTTCAGCTCGTGCACGTCGATGAGGCCATCTCGATCCGAGTCGTGCTGCAACAAGTCAATTTTCAAAAAAAAAAAAATTATTCCATGGCATGAGATATTTGAGTCTATATACATATGTATGTAGGTATATATCTAATACGCTTCTAATCTATAAAATCAGCGCTTCCAGCGATTAGCTCGGGGCACTTTTATTTACTTATAATTATCAAGTAGTGTGTGTGGTAAATTGCATTAATACATTATCAAGGTTTCCAGCCTGCTTATCGAGTCGTAATCTCGTATTAGTCAGAAAGTAAATATGTACATATATACAAATAAATTGAATGGGCTTATTAGTAGTGTTCATGAATGCTTCAAGTTTATAGAACAATGCAAAAACAAATGAGAAAGCTCTAGTCGAGACTGGTCGACTGGGAGATATCCAAGCTGATATTCTGCTCATTCTTTTATGCACACATGCATACACACGCACATGCATACACGCGATCTCCTGACTGCGCAGTTAGCAGCGACAGCGCTTTGGGCTGCGCTGCAGTGTGGGCAAGTCTCTAGGTCTACAAGTGTTTAAATTAGGTTGAAAAAACAAAATCAATTTTTCGATTATACTCGATAAAAAAGTTATCGGATGAGTTATCGAAAAAATATGATAAACTGAGTATGCATGCCAAAGCTCTCTAGCTCTTATAACTTCTGAGATCGATGCACTCAAACGGGCGGACAGACGGACAGGGCTATATCGATTCAGCTCGCCGTGCTGATCAAGAATATATATACTTTGTGAGGTCTGCCACGCCTCCTTCTGCCCGATATATTTTCACTAAACCATTATACCCTGATTTCGCATTTTCAATGGGTTCAGGGTATAAAAAGTGCGCTTCTTGGGCGTATAGCTGTTGTTACAATCATTCTACAAGCGAGTGTATAACTCGCTTTCAGCACATTTTAGGCTATAGGTACGCATGAGCTACGACTATATACATATATGTGTATTATTGATAATGATGTGCACATTTATGGAAAAGTACACTTCTCTATTATTCGAAATATATGAAGGAAATATATGAAATCAAGAGGAAATATATGAAATCAAGAGGGCATAGGCTAGATCAACCCATCATCCTAATTCACAATATACATACATGCATATATGGGCTACGTGAAGCTCTTGTCTGTCTGATACATATATGTATTTTCCAAATATCTTTTCTTTCTGAAATCTCATTTTTATTAAGATTTAGAGCATACAATTAAGGTATGCATAATATATATATGGGCATTTCTCCAGAAAGGTCAACCACAGCCAAAACAATCAAAATCAATGAAAGCATGTTCTGCATGTATAACTAATTCATCATTATCTATTATAGATCATATTTCTATTATATTATAATATAATATTATATTATAGTATAATACATCATATAAAAAATTATAAATCAAATCATAGTATCATATCACAGCAGGCGAGGTGGAAAATGGGATTACGGGAATTGTGTCAGTTTCATTTGGTAATAGTCACTCAAATTGTATGGAAAATATCTCGGAATAAATATCAAGGCATCACTGTAGCTGGGTCCTGAGCTCCGTGCTACTTTGGCCAGCAACAGGAAGTACACAAAATTACATGTGAGTTTGTGAATCAGCGAATTCCTGGCGATTGCTAAATTGCTTAAATCTATCAAAGGTTACCATAGCACCCATAGGTCCCATAGGTTCCATAGTTACCTATCCCAAGCTCTCAAATTTCCGTTGCAATATGACACAGTTTTGGCAGATGACCAAGAACATGATGGGCTGGTGGTTGGCCGAGGAGGAGGACTGCAACTGTGACTACCACGACGACGATGAGACCGAGGTGCAGGAGTCCTCGGGCGTAGGCACCATCATACTTATATACATGGCACTGGTAGGAATCTTCATTGGAGGCAACATCATTCTCAGGCAGCTGACGCAGAGCTCACCGACGTTGATCGGCCGAAAGATGCGTAAGGAACAGCAGCAGCGGCGTCGCAGCAGGCATTCAGCGAATGAGGTCAACAGAAGACCGCGAAGGAGGCTCGTGTTGGACAACTGGCACGATGCAGTGGAGCCGACTGCCGAGGAGGAGGTCCAGTTGCTGCAACTTAAAGACAAGGATCTCTACTTCGAGCTGCCCGACGACAACATCGACGACGATCACTTTGTGGAAGCCAGGGATAACTGAAGTCCAGCCTGGACGCTGTTATGCCAATACCCAAATGTCCATCAACAGCTGAGGCTCCCATTCCAATTCCGATTCACTAATCGTTTCCGAGCTCTGTTATTCCCCCACTTTTCACATCCCAAATTTTAAATAAAGGACACCATATACACCAATTCGCAAACGAAGGCCGTTTCCATTGATATACAGTTGGAAATCGATTGTGCAATTGCCGCAAATACCACATGCAACTGTTTCAGCAAATCAAACCCCAAGTGTGGTCAAAACAAGGTGCCGCAATTGGAAGATTAGGCAATGGAATGACCAAATCCGTACAACAGATTCGACAAATACGTCAAAACTGCATTCGAATCGAGGCCACAGCAAACAGCGGACAGCCGCCACTTGACTGACCAACAAACAGGGAGAGAGAAAGAGAAAGAGAGAGAGAGACAGACATCAGTCTGCTCTGTGGTTTTCGTTAAATACCCTTTTTCTAGCTAAATGTTTTAGAGCAGGCGAATAACAAATGGTATCGCAACACCTGATACATTCACGAACTTAACTTTAAAGTTTTCTCACTTGATTCAATGAATCAGTTCAACTGTTATTCGATACGCTACAGACATTGGACTTTAAACACAGAAACATAAACAAAACCTATTTTAGATCGAATAACAACAAGATCAATTTGTTTTCTCTTGGAAATCTGCAAATAATATTAACAAAGTGAAGTCAGCTACACTGTTTACTGAATCTTGTACAGTGTTTCATACGTGTTTCTTACGTCTATATTAAGTAAATTTTCAATTGTTGTTGTAGTCAGATACGCAGCGAATAGCTCCATTCCAAATATTTTTGTCGCAGAATCGCGGTATTTTTCCTCGTGAAATAACTTTAGTTCAGTTTGTTTAGATTAGGCGATTCTTTAGAAGTTCATACCATGCTAGTGGTTCCAGGGAATAAGTAACCAAAAACAGTCGGTTGTATTGTTCTAGCTGTGAACTAATAAAGCAAATTAAGTTTCATTCCATATTTATAATGAAACCGCAAAACTCTGCTTCAGACTTTTATTTATATACATATTTTGACTGATTAAATCTTGTGTTTTAAGAGTGCTCGAACGAAACAGTTATGCATAGTTGTAGTGTGAGTCTGTGGGGCATAAACTACAGACTGAATTATTATCAAACTTATTGAGTCACAAATTGAAGTTTGGGGCAGCAGCATTCAGTTAGTCTGTCAGTCAGTCAGTCAGTCAGTCAGTCAGTCAGCCAGTCATGCATTCATCTACCATGAGTGTCGCTATAAATGTGTATATGTATATACATATATATGTATGTGTGTGCATTAAAACAAGGCATTGAAATGTTTGGCATTTCGTTGGATGGGGGTTATACATTGGCCGCGCTAATAGATAAGATTGCAAACACAACATTTTGATATTGAATGGTCTTGGCTATTTCACAAAAGGCAAATACAGAGTTAGCGAGCGAAATAGAGAGAGAGAGAGAGAGAGAGAGAGAGAGAGAGAGAGAGAGAGAGAGAGAGAGAGAGAGAGAGAGAGAGAGAGAGAGAGAGAGAGAGAGAGAGAGAGAGAGAGAGGGAGAGAGAGAGAGATGAATGCAGAGAGGAAGCACAGAATGAAAGTTAAAGCAACAGTCTAGTCTGCGTATGCTAATTGATATGCCATGCTAAACACATACCAGATATACCCGATATTAACAAATGGATTCTATTCACGAACCACTACAGGCAATGGAAAAAGAAAGAGTTGAGAAGAAATCCCCACAAACGGGTTACGACAGAGCTGATGAAATGCAATTTATGTGCTGTTCTTTTTGTCTTAGCTGCCAACTGCTCTAGGGCCAATGAACGAATCAAAGGCAAACAGTGGGAGTGGGAGTGGGAGAGGGACAGATGCTGAGAGAAAGGAACAATTTCACTCGACGCCAACTAATAGCACGGAATGCTGTTGAACAGAAACCAAAACAGAAACACCGCACAAGACAAAATCAAGCAAATCAGGGGTGTTCTACTTGGGAGAGTCAGACGCGCAGATACCCTGTAAGTAGAACTATATTCACGACGTCGATCATCTGAAAGTACAGATGATGGACATGATACAACATATGTACATATATTCCATTAAATATGAGATTCAACTGCATATTTATAATGGTAAATATATTAGCATATGTATTTGGAATTTAACTTTAACTTATTTGATAATTCATAAAATTAAATTATATTTTTTGGTAAATCTAACTCTAAGAACAAGGGCAGGGCTGAATGCATATACATACGCACATACACATATACATATACTCTAACTCTAAGAACATTAGACATATCTAGAATACCAAATCAAAACGGGTATACCTGTTTAAAGTATTTGATCAGGTTGTTGTGGGAATGGGGAGCGGCACTTGACAGTGAGTAGAAAACAATAGGATATGCTAGGCAAGAAAGTGACAACAACAATATTGCGCAGGTGAGTAAGCCAAATCAACTTTTGACAGTCAAGAACGAAGCTAATACACCAACAACAGCAACAAATGACGACAGCAATTCACATACATACATACATATGTAAATAACCACATTCATACGCTCGTATGGGTACATGGGAGCACATGCGAAAGTAAAAGAACAAACTGGTATGTGTGTGTGTGTAAGTACACAGAGAACCGGTTGTTTCTGTCTACATTGTTCGTATGCGATAAGACGCTCGCTGTCGTTCTTCCTCTCTGTTAGCTGCTGTTGCTGTTGTTGCTGCCGCTGCAATGTTAAGCAAAACCAAACTGAGAAGAGCACACAACAAAATGTTAATGGCGAATTGTGCAAAAGTGTGAAATTGACTGAATGCTCTGTTTGCTGGCGTTCGCGACGTGACATTGATAAGCTGACCCCACCAGGTCCCCTTTCCAACACATCGTTTCTAGAGAAATGAATGGAGTGCAAACATTGCGCAGTCGCAGCGGCATTAACAGCAACAGTTTTAGTAGCACACCTGCATCGAAGTGTCTGTAAGTCTATGTATATGCATATACTTATGTACATATAACACATGTATATTTAAAGCGTGACAATAAGCAATTTGATTCGAGTGAGAGGGTTAGAGGTAAAGAGTGACTGGGCTGATGATTCACCAAATATTTGATACGCGCAGCTCGGTCAAACTTTCACCAAGGCCAAGGGACCGCGCACAGGCGGGCGTCTTGAACAAAACCAGGAAATTCATTCATGCATGCGCTGACAGCACCACCGGCAGAGTGAGAGAGTGAGAGAGCGGCGAGTGAACTCAGTTCTAGTTTCCTTTGCGATTGAACGCTTGGCTTACCTTTTCGAATAATTGTCGCATCTTTCTGCGATCCTCTGATTCCGGCTGCGAGTTGGAGCGATTGAGTGGCACCTCCTCCATGTCAATGGTGTCCTGACGCATCGTTGGCGGTCGTGCTGGATTTGTCGGCGATCGCCGCTCGGCCGGTATATTGGGATAGAGGCCATTTTCGACGTCTCGCTGGTGCTGCTGCTGCAACTGCTGAGCGGGCGTTTGGCTCTGCTGGCGGGACACTGACTTTACAGGCATTCTCCCTAAGTTTCACGGCGGTATAGCAGTGGATGACTAAACGACTAAAAACACGGCGTTTGTTTGTTTGTTGTCAATTGCTGCTGTTCTTAAGCTACTTCAATGTTGCGACCGGTTCGAATTCACTTAGCAATCATTTGTGCTGTCACTCATGCTTACGATAAGATTATTTTTTTGCTATAAAAAAGCAAACACTGGCGAAAACTAAATGCACTTTGATATCACACCATTAACAAAAAGCGCAAAAAAAAAAATATTAAAGAAAACCCACAACGATTGGCAGTCAACGCTAGTGCACGGACTGAGCTAACGCGTCCGCACAGTCTGCTCAGCTAAAGTAGAGTGAGTGAGAGGAGGCAAGAAAGAGATACAAGTAAATGAACTTTGTGCAGCAAAAGCGTATGCTAGCTCACAGTGCACTGTTACGAGCGACGGTCACACTGCTTGCGCAATTCTGTTAAGTGCCCAGCGATTCTGTTAGCCGCCATGGCAATAGTGTTGCGAATGCAGTTTCTGGCAACGCCTTGCCGCCAAATAAACTGAAATTTGAATATGACTTTTATTTATTGTTTGCTCGTGCTCTTTCATACATCACATGTACTAAATTGGTAGTTTTATTAATATTTTATATTTATTGGATTTTTGTTTTTCAATACGTATAAATAAAAACTTAAACAAATTTACTGCACACACATTTTTGTTTTATACCTTGCTGACTACACAAAAAAAAAATTATTATATATATTTATATATATTTTCGTTTTGTTGTTGCTGGTTTTTGTATTTTGTTTTTTTTTTTTTTCGTGTTTTAGAATCTTTGAAGTGTTCAACATTGTGTAACATAGTTTGCTAATTTATTTACTTGACGCCGTTATCTTGTTGTTTTTGTTGGTTTTCCTTAATAAAATTGTTGCACATTCAACTAATTTGTTATAAATGTATACATGTATATATCTATATGTATCACTATACATATAGATATATATTTTCATGTCTAAAATTGCGCAACTAATTCGATTTAGACCTTTAGTTCTGTTGTGTGATTTTTGTTAATTTTTTTTCTTTTATTATTATTATTATTTTTTTTTTTTCAATTTACTATTCGCATTTTAAATAATTAATTACAACATTTATTTTATTTGTATCTTTTCTTTTTTTGTTTTCTATTTATTCCATTCTGCATTTCGCTTAGCCTAATGCCTAACTGTTTCTTCAATTGTTTATATTCTTTATTTGTTTGTTAATTTTTATTTTTATAATCATTTTTTACAGTGCCTATTTAAGATGCTATTTCATAATGTATTTCATACTATTTTTTTTAGCTTGCTGGCGGAATGTTTTCTGTTTTTGTTTTAATATTCATACTTGGTATTTGTAATATTTATTTATTTTTTTATTTGTTTTATTTGGCAATGACGTTCTGATTCCTTTCTTTGTTGTTGTTGGTGTTGGTATCTATTACTATCTCTTTCTATCGCTCGCTTCATTTGCTGCTTTTCGTAGCTTGTCATTAAAAATTAATTGTTTTTGTTTTTGTTTTTGCATATAATTTATGTGTATATTTATATGTATACATACATAGGTATATGTATGCATATATATAGTTAAATAAAGTAAATAGATTACGTAATTGTAACATTTGCTTGCTTCTGCCCTTTGCACTTCCAATTCCTACCTCTCGTTCTCTCCCTTTCCTGCGCGTAGCAGGGATCTTTGTTTTCGTTCTGTTATTTTAACATATGAATGAATATTTTTGAGTTGGAGCTGGAATTCGATATCGAATTCGAACTAGAGTACAGACTGGCCCGTGTTACAATAATTGAAACTCTTATATTTCACTTTTTTTACAATTTCAATTTGCCTTTGAAATTAAGGAAGTGCTCAAAAAAAATTCTTATAATTGAAAATACATAAGAAAAAATATATAAAAAATATCGGGGCTTTTAGTGTTAAAATTGAATAACAATTTTTGTGAACATACATAAAGTAAATTAGAAAAAAAAAAAAATAATAATAAAAAAAAAATATATATATATATTTATATATATATATATGTATGTGTAAAGATATATTTGATAATTGGAATGCTTGAAAATATTTGCATTTTGGTTTTGAAATGCTTCAAATGTATTTGCAACAAACAATATACACATACATACAAACATGCATAAATAATACGAGTATATGGGAGCGGGTTAAGTACAAAAGTAAATAAGTAGTTAAATGGGCTCACTATATAGATATATAGCTGTATGTGTAAGTGCAGACACTCCACGCCCGATAATACACATAGCGAAGGGATGACTTGGCCCACTGACCCGCCAATCAGCTGATTTGCTGATTTGCTGTTTCTGCAGCTGCTTCACCTTCACATGGCTGAATTGAAAAGTATTTACAAAGCAAACGCTGACTGGCGCTGAGGTTGTGGCTGGATCTAGAGTTGGGGCAGCAGTCGCCGATGAAGACATTATGATTCGTCGCGATTGTTGTGCACCCACTGCGCGGGCACCCATTGGGGCTCGCGCTCCAGCGAATTGATCTCCGCCAACAGCTGGTGATAAGCTCGCTCCGTGTCGTTGTTGATAATGATCATGTCGAAGAGGTGACCCCAGCGCGCCTCCATGTCTCGTGCGGTGGCGATGATGTCCTTCAGCTCCTCCTCCTGCCGAAAGGTAACAGCAATGATTTAAATAATGTGATTAATCGATTTCGATCTATCGATCAACTCTATGAAGTTGATCGAAATCAGCGATAACGATAACGAAATAACGTACCTTGAACGGCTCGCCGTTGCGCAGTTTCTTCTGGCGCAGCTTGTCGAGACTGGGCGGTGCTACCAGCACCACATAGGGCTTCAGGTCGGAGGCACGCAGCAGCTTCAGGCTCTGCGGATGCAAGTTCAGCACACAAATCTTTCCACTGGCAACGACTGTGCGAATGGCCTCCAGTGATGTGCCTGCAATGGGAGAGATTACATAAGTGCATCCATACCAAATGGTGGGCGTGGCATATTTACCATAGTAGGCCTTCTCGTATTCGCCATGCTCCACGAAGCGACGCGCCAGAATGTCTGCTTCGAAGGCTTGTCGCGTGATGAAATGATAATCCACGCCGGGCACCTCGCCCTCGCGCCGGGCACGGGATGTGTCTGCACATGTGGAAGAGAGAGAGTTGAGGTTAACGGATATCGATATCGAGAGAGAGGTAGTGCAAGGGCACCGAGGGAGTTGGGTGTAAAGAAGCCAGCACTGAGCAAAGACGCATCCGCAACACGAGAAGACTGGGAACTCGACTCATTCCTGTGGTAGATCCTCTGAGACCTACACAGTCAGCAAAGAGCTGAGGCTTATACAAACGTCAAGTGGAAACCCATTCTTCCGACAGACCCGCCGTATTGCTGATGTGCTTTACTCAGTGCTTGGGTAATGCTAGCAATGCGCTGGGAATCAGTTGCGACTGCTTTACCCTTAGCTGGTTTAAGTTTCTCCTCAAGCAAATAGAAAACTGCGAGAGAGAGAGTAAGAGTAATTAAGACAGACAAAGATAGAGATAGAGATAGATATAGAGATTGAGAGAGAGGCAAAGAGGGAAAGAGAGGCACAGGCTGAGCACGCCCAAGCTGGGATAATGCGAAGCCTATCAGGGACCCATCCTCTACTTACGTGGCACTGCAGCCGAGAAACGCTCGGAGTCGGCCATCAGGCGCTGGCGTAGTTCGTGCCGGCCAATGTTGGGTGGGCCGATAAGGACAATGGGGCGCTTGTGAGTTGCGCGGGGGTAGTAGAGCGCAACCTCCTCGTAGGTGAGTATCTCCTCGGGGTCCGTTTCGTCGGGCGCTGTCGTCGCATAAAGCGGATAGCTGCGATGGCATAGGAGTTCGGTTAGAGATTGTGTTACCAATCGGTCTAGCTGTTTTGTCGACTTACCCTGCCTCGGAGCTAGCCTTCTTCTTCTTCTTGCGGCCTTTGCGAGCGCAGAGAAGCGTTGCACCCTTGCTGGTGGCACCCTCCTTGCCGCGGGAGCGCGCCAGACCCGCCTCCTCGGCAATGGCTAGCTTCATGGTCTCGCGCTGATGCTGGAAGGACTGACTAGGAATGAGGCCGGCCAGCGTTTGATCTTCCTCGCCCTCGCGGTACGCCTGCCACCAGTTGGGATCCTCGCGGGATATCACATGCAGCACATCGCCCTTCTGGAAGCTGATGCCCAGCTCCCGGCACGGTATGTACAGATCATCCTCCGGATCATAGTCGAAGTGTGCCCGCACGTGCAGCACGGCCGTATCGCGATGCGCCATCCCGCCCACGTGATGCATGCCCAGGCCGCTGCAGAGGCCGCCGCCGGGCGGCGGACTGCCGGCGGGCACAATCAAGAACGTGAGCGTGCCCTGCATGGCGCCCAACAGGGCGCACACCTCATTCACCGTCTTGCCCCGCAGCTCCTGGCCATTCACCTCCAGTATCTCGTCGCCCTCGTGCAGCAGGCCGGACTTCTCGGCGGCACCGCCGCGCACGATGCGGCCGATGACCACCGCCTCGCCCTCGTTGCGCACCGTTGCGCCCAGCGGCTCGGTGGACTTCTCGATCTGTATGATGCGTATGTTGTCGTTCTGGTCGTTCAGCGTGCCGAAGCAGGCGCTCATGCCGGGTGGCGACTCGCCGCGCACGCCCACCGCCACAGGCAGCGGCATGGCTCCGCGCTGCGCCACCGAGCTGGCCACTGGCGGCACCACTGGCGGCAGCACCGCCATAGCCGCTCTGCTGCTCGCTGCGGCCGTGCCCGCTGCCTTGGCTCCAGCCACGGGACTGCTGTGGCCGCTCAGCGTGGTGGCCGTCGCCGTGGGCGTCTGTGAGGGCGTCGGCGTCGGCATGGGCGTTGGCATGGGCGAGGGCGACGCGTCCGTATGGCTGGCAATGCGATCGTGCGCCAACAGCAGGCCCTCCATCTCGTGGCTGGTCAGCAGATTGCCCAGCTCAATGGCCGACGCCGTATTCGACTGCGTCAGCAGCTCCACAATCTCCTTCTGCAAGCCCAGCGCCCCGGAGTGCACCGGCCCGGCCACCCGCGGGCGCCTGCGCTGCAGCACCGCGCTCCTGGCGGCCAGCACATGGGCCACACTGGCGGTGGCCAGGACATTATGCGCCGCCGACACTCGGCCCGCCAGGTTGCTCAGCCCGCTCTTCGCCAGCTGGCTCTGCAGACGCGTCAGTGCCGCGATCAGCTCCCCGTAGCCTGCAAACAGAGTTGCGACACATTAGATAAGTTCATCCTAGTGCAAATAGAGGCTACGTCGCTTTCCTAATATGAGCCGCAAAATGGGTCTTATTATTCAAGAATATACTATATACAATATATATCTATATATAATTATGTATCTTGAATTCAAATTAGTTTTCAATTATACCACAGGCTATATGTGACTAAAAACTGTCTATGCTCAGAGTTCTATGAATGGATTATTTTCCGAATGCAAGCCAAGTACCAAACGAATTGTGTTCGTTAACCGAGGGTCCACTGTATGCGTTTTTCACTCAATTTCTATATTTGGAGGCCTCTTTTAAAACTCAATTAGTGTTCCCTAGAGCCTTAAGTATCCGTTTTCTACACAATTTGTATATGCTGCGGCCATATTTTGAAGAATGGATTGGTTTCTCAAGTCATGATATGACAATGTACTATGGGGTAATAATAATAATAATATCGTGTTTGAAAGAACCTAATTTTAATTCATGAATTTATATGACTTTAGAAATGAATTGGTTCTGTAATATATGGCTATATCAGCAATAGATGTGCTACTCCATATTCATTCTATAAGGTTGAGTTAGGAGCAGGAGGGCATTTTGAGCATGTATCTAATTTATAGTGTATCGGTCGGATTGATGTTGATCAGTAATTTAATATACGGGTTTACCAACACATGCATATCAAAGAACAGTCATAAGACTCATTTGCCAGATAACAGGTTATATAATTTGGACAATCCGAATTGAATTCCTTCAAGAATATCTGAACATAATATCGATAGTTTTCATTAGAGAGTATGCAGCTTACACAGAGTCGTCTGTCGTGCCAGCATATTGCGATATCTAGTCCATAGTTTATCGGTCAAAGCGATGGTGATTAATAAATTAATACTCTGATTCTGTAACACCCAAATGAAAGCAGCCTCATTTGATAATAGAATATATAAATTTGGCTTCATCGAAGCTTTGTGTCAAAATTTGACAACCAATTTGACTAGCTGTTGGAGAAAGCGAATTGAATTGCTCCAAGAATATCTGAACATAACATCGAAAGTTTTCGTTAGATAGAATGCTGCTGAGACACACAATCGTGTCTGACGTCCCTGCTATAAATGTATCCACTGACAACAGGATAAAGTCTGACAGCTGCTCGTTGGCCTTTGAGCCCCCATAGTCCATGCAGCTTTTGGCACTTACCATCGATGTGCTCCGCTGGCATTAGGTCCTCATCCGGCAGATATGCCTCGTTCTCGACGCCAGCAATTGTTGTTGCTGCTGTAGTCGCATGCTGCTGCTGCGCGAGCGCCTTCCCGGCCGTGGGCGTGGCTGTGGCCGTATCCTGAAGCGCCTTGAGCTTGCGTGAGCCACGCAAGCTGTTGCGTAGAAACTCATTCTGCTGGGCGATGCGCTCCTCCTCCTCGCGTCGACGTCGCAATTGCTCCTGCAAGAAACAAAGTGAACGAGTGCATGTGAGAGAGAGACAGAGACAGAGCGAGGCAGCGAGGGAGAGAGGAAGGGTTTCTTTGTGGTCAGTTGAACTTTGAGGCTTCAGCTGGCGCACTTAATCCGCTTTCGCGCACCAGCTTTATGCTAATTGAATTAGCAGCCTTTGCGAAGACCGATGATGATGAGAAGGAGGAAAAACGCAGAGTGTATCGACTGCAGACATACCCTGTAAAATTCCATGCATGCATGCATCAAATTCTTGCCACCTGCCACAAGCTCTGCGTGACATGCCACAAGTGCCCCAAAAACCCATCGACCACAAGAGCGCAACGAGGAAGGGGTTGGCCATAAGGGGGCGTGGTCGGATGGAGGACGCAGTGCGTGAGGCAGTGGCAAATGCTTAAAGAAGCGCCGCAAGTGCTCGGCTCGCATTAGGTCAATGGGCAAGCAATGCGACTATCCCTAACAATGCATGTCAAACTGTGGAGTAATAGCACGATAAAAAAGGTCTAGTGAGAGGGTGAGAGAGAGAAAGAGAAAGAGAGAGAGAGAGAGAGAGGGAGACAGCTGAACATCATTTAATAACTTGAGATTTCGAGTAGTATCTCTAGGTAGATATACGAACGGAGGTATGCGAATATGCTTGGTACATGTACATATGTATGTATTCCCAGTTTCTCGTCTATTTCACTATACTCCATTTGCATTGCATCAGCAGGGTATACATTTCTTTAGGTACTAGAATATATGCTTTGATTAAGTCTTTGGTGAGAAAAGTTGTACAGTTCCGCCAGCATCCGTGGACTGTAACGCCCCAGAGTGCAGCATTTTTGTATAGCTAACTAAGAATTATAATTAAATCTTTAAAAGTTCTGAGTCATTGAGCAATCTAAGTGTTAGATTTTTAAAATTATAATAACATAACATAAACATGTCTATTCCATACATATATTTGCTAGCTGAACAAATTGAAATATATGTATGTAAAATTTATCATATAATGATATCAGATTTGTGTGACGAGCTGGGGAACTGAAACTCTATCAATAAGAAGCAAATACAAAGTTGCAAGCAAACGCGTGTCCAAGTTGAGATTTTGGGTTCCGCTTCAAGACTTTAGCAAATCAGAGAGAAAGAGAAATAGAGAGAGAGAGGGAGATGGGGAGCGAGAGTGGCGGAGATAATAAATCTGGCCAAAATCTCAGCTGGGACCTTGCTGCCAATTTTCTCACACATTTGTCTTCAAGAAGAAAAAAAAAATGAAACAAAAGGAAAAAACTTAATTGAATAACAACAAAAGACGACGTTCAAAAGGCACACAAACAAAACTAAAGAGAAAGAAAGATAGATGGAGAGGGAGAGGGAGAGAGAAAGAGCAAGAAAAACAAAGAGAGCGGGAGAGCAACAAAAGCGAGAGTCAAATTCGCTGAACTTGCATAATGTGAACTTGACGCAGCGCATGAGAAGCGCAAAGAGGGGCGTGCAACAAGAGGAGAAAGAAGAAGCGACATCAGCAAATATAATGCAGACAGTCTACAGTGTAGACAGAGGGACAGGGCGAGAGCAGGCGGGAGGCGGGAGGCCGGCTTGGGCTTGACGGGCAGCTACGTCTGTTAGCGTGACTATAGAAAACGATAAAAGTTACAAAAATAAAAAAACGCGGTTGACATTGAACAAGAAACCTAAATAAAAGCAAAACAAAAATTTATATCGAAAGTCTAGAACTGGAGTCTGGCAGCGTGCATACCCTATTTTTCAAGCCGCTCGAGGGTATTGGTGCCCACACGCAGCTATCGATCGCAAATTGAGATGCGCAATTTGATGGAATTCAATTTAAAAGAAGGCAGGGAAAGGGGCATGGGAAGTGGGGCCAGAGGCGTGGGGCGTGGGTCTTGGCACCCTTTTTGATCTTCCACTAAGCGCGCAGATCAACAAAAGAAAGACACGCTAAAGCTGCGGCTCATCAATCATCTGACAAGAGCAACAACAACAACAACAACAACAACCGAAGTGACAACAATTGTAAAACAAGTACATGTAAATCTGCCGGCAGTGCTCGACTGACCGCTACCCTGGCGAGCTTACGACCACAAAATTCAGTTGAGTTTCCTTTTGCCTGAGCTTTAACTGGATTCTATTATTTTTGCATACAATTAGGTAACTCACTTCCTTAAAAATTGTTATATATCCATATATCTGTCTATATTGCATGGGGTTGAGGCATACACCCGCTTTGCTCAACAATTTACAGGGTATAGCAACCAGCAGCAGCTCAATGCTAGTTCTACTTCTGGTTGTTGTTGCTGTGAGTGTATAGACCATGACATCATCATCATTATTGTCGTTGTCAACCTCATTATCATCATCGTCATCATTAACATTTTCGTCGTCGGGCACACAGTAAATATTGCAAATCGGCGTAACACAAAAATTAAAAATTTATTAACTTGCCTATTCGTCGTGTTTGTTTTTATTGTTATGCTCATTAGCTTTTATATGCTGGGCATATTGGTTTCATTACTGATTTTGTGACACGAATTGTCTATAATTGAGCAATATACCCTTTGTTATGGAAGATTTGTATAAGTAAAGTATAATCAATATTTATAAATATTTTAATATGTCTTTATCTATATTTTCTTGAAAATCAATATAATACATCTTATTTTTGTTGCTTGAAAAAAAAGTAAATAAATAAATAAATAAAATAAAGAACAAAATATTTCCTTATCATCCATATCTCTAATCATGGGTTACTATAAGATAAGAACAATTTGGACAAACTTCAATTTTCATATCTTTCTTTCAATTAAAAAAAAAAAGGCTGACAGCTCTATCTAAAGACTGCTTCACTATGGAATCCCCAGAACCCTTAGGAAAGCTGATCAGCCAATCATTCTACGCATGTTTTATGCACACCCACACACACATACGCACAGCAGGACGAAGGGACAGGGTTAAGTACATACAACTTCTTATACCCTAGACTATTTAAAGGTATGCTAAGGTTATCAGAAAACCTATTAAACTCTATGCGAGCTTACAAAATTTAGCAGCTATGGAATCTTTATAAAGCGACAAATTTTGAGCATCGCTTGGAGTTTGTATAAAATATTTCAGTGGCAAATATTTGTTCATATCGAAATTTGCTATCTCGATAGAGATTTTGTGCAAATAATTTGCAAATTTTCAGCTCAAAGTTTGGGGAAATGCGGGCTAACTGAACGAGCCATGAAAAGTTTGGGTTTGTGAAAAAGGTAAAACTTTTTTTTTTAGAAAATGCTGTTAATCATGAAATGAGGAGAGCTCACTTTGAATTGCTGTTATATATATTCATAATGATAATCATAAATGAAGTGACATTTTCTAGAGTATTAAAATGTCTATGTCAAAGAAATCTTCATGCTAAAGCTGCAAAGCTGTTGCTGCTTTTGTTGTTGTCGAGCAACTGCGTCAGCCAGTTAGCCTAGTTTGCTGTTAACTGGTTGCCATTTGTTAGTTAGCATATATATATATATATATACTTATATATGTAGATAAAGCCAGCTGGCGATAGCAGCCGAAGGTTGCTGCCATTTAAAGGGAAACACAGCGACGGCGGCAGCAACTGTTGCTGTTGTTGCGCCTTGCCACACTTGCCTGTTGTTGTCGCAAACGCATCGAAGAGCGCTGAATTTGTGTGCCACGTCGCAGAGCTGAGCCGCTGCGATACGGCGTATTGCTGGCAGATGACGATCCTTGATGCTGCTGCTGCTGCTGCTGTTGCTGTTGCTGTTGCTGCCAGAGTTGTTCGTTGTTCGTTGCATTGCCGTTCATATCACAATATTTGTTATTATTCATGCTATTGCTGTGGCTGCTCAAGCTGAAGCCTTGCTGCTCATTTTCCTTTTCAACTAACATTTGTGGCGGCTCCTTGTTGTTGTTGTTCATAATTTGATTATTATTATTGTTGTTGTTGCACAGCACATTTAATCTGTTAGGAACGATCGCAGCTGCTGTTGTCGTTAGCTGTTGCTGTTGCTGCTCGCCAGCAACATCGTTATCCACGCTTATGTGCAAAGTCGACAAGACCATTTTCTGCCTCTCTGATCTTTTGTTTCTCCCGATATTGTTTTTGTTTTTTTTGTTTATGTTTTTGTTTTCTACTTGATTGATTTGTCACATTGCTAGCTGTTGCTGCTGTTGCTGCTGCTGCTGCTGCTGCTATTTCAAAAATAGTTTGTACAATTATTTGAAACTGGCCACGCCCTAAACAGACATTCCACTGCCCCCCTTTTCGCTGCCATGCAAATGCTAATGCTCCACATTGACAGCTGCAACGCATAAATTTAACACTGAGCGAAACTCGCTCTGCTCAGCTTTTGTTTCTGCATTTGTTTAACTCGTAAATGCAACTTAATGCGCATTTAAATGAAGCCTGAACAGCTGCTGTGGCTGGACAACAGAGACGGACAAACACTGCGAATAGGAGTGAGTGAGTGAGAGAGAGAGAGAGAGAGAAAGCGAAAGTTGCTGGCACTATAATGCCAATAGTTCTGTGGCCATTCTCTCGTCCAACAGCAACGGCAACATTTCCAGCAACAGCAACAGCAAGAGCAACAGCAACACTAACAGCAGCAGCAGCAACATTTTTATGGACTTTCCATTCAACAAGCACTCGCAACGCTCGTGCGATTCACAACTAGTATGAAAAACTTGTTACTTTTATGCATTTATTTATTTATTTACATAAATATATGTATATATATGTTTTGTTTTGTTTTCATTCAATTGTTGCTGTTGTTGCTGCCGTTGCCGTTGCCGTTGCTGTTGCTGTTGCTGTTGCCCTTAACGTGCGGCGCATTGCAAATGAGACGCTGACGCTGCCGTTGCTGCATTTTTATGTTGACGCTCACGAAAAAAGCCGAAAAAAATCCCAAAAAAAGCTGCTGTTTACGTTTAACTGTTTACTATGATAATTCATATTTTGTTGTTGCTGCTGCTTGGCGATATTTT